CTTCATTCAGACGCCCTCCAGACCTGTAAGTGTACGAGACGCAAGGCATCCCCTATTGCACACCATTTCAGTTAATATAAAATTTTTAAAAACCTGAATTTAAGGATTTCTCTGCAATGATGCAATGAACTGGTCAGCATATGCAATTTGTCATTAAGTCAAATGCTGACTGACTTTTTTCATACAAATTATCAGTCCATTATTTATACACTGAATTGACGACTGATTGTTCCGTTATTTCCTGATCATGAAAAGGAGCACACGGAGGGTGTGGCCGGTCGGCAGGGGATGCTTGTTCCTCCATGGCACCTGATCCCACCTCCGATGTTTTAGAGATCCGTGTTTGCTCTGCTCCTTTTGTATTGTTTTAAGGACTTTTGATCTTGAATACTGTTTGTTATCTCCATGTTTTATTCTAAGTTATGGGATACACAGAGGACACAGGAAGGTTAGAAAATATTAGGAAATGTTAGGAAATATTTCCGAGGGACCAGAAGAGCTTATGCGATAATTATGTGTCTGTCGTCCGCCCGTCTGTCTGTAAACAAATTTTATGCCCCCGGATCGAAAGCCCCGGGGTTATTGTTTTTGTCCTGTCTTTCTGCTGTCAACTTTAACCTAGTCCATAACTATAAAGTGGGTGAGGTTATGGCTTTCATATTTCACAGGTGCATACCTTTCCATGGGTTCCACCATATATGACCCCTTGACCTTGACGTCTGACCTACTTTTACATAAAAATACCACACTTTAACCTTGGCCATAACTTGAACAGTTGGAGCTAGTGCTTTCATCCTTCACAGGTGTATTCATTGGGACAAGACCTTTCAGCTGGTAGAAATATTTTTGACCTTGACCTTTGGAGTTTGACATGCATTTTTGAGAATCCAGCCATTGCCATACGCTGCCATACGAGGGCATCAGTGTTTCAGAAACACATCTTGTTCGAAATGCCACACCTCCTACAGTTTTGGTCTGATTTCAATATTACTTGGCACACAAGTAGACTATACTAAAATACATAATTCTGTTTTTGTATTAAATTGAAATTTCTGTGAAGTACTTTCAAAAGGAAACTCCTCCTACAGTTTTTATCCGATTTCAATATAACTTGGCACACAAGTTGACTACAATGAAAAAATTAACTAGAAAGTCTGCTATTGCATGCAATAGCGTATGTCGCCCCAAACTGGACAAGACTTTCATTTTTTGTATCACTAAAACAATACCCATTAGCTAAGCTTGGACAACCATCAACTCGTATCAGTACTTTCATTACTTTGATTTAAAAATCAAAGTTAAAGAATTTTCATTTTTCCCCTGTTTCCATGGAAACTATTGACAATATGCAATGTTTAAATCCAATGAGCACAATAACAGATACTAATCATCACATAAATAAAATTTCATGAATGTAGTGTATTTATGGAGTGTTTTTTTAATTGCAATTGGGATCGGGCTCGAGAGCCCACCGATCTCTCTCTTCCCGCGTTTCCGCCAAGCTGGGTGCAGGTCATGTTGTGAAAACTCCTGGATTTTGTTGTAGTATTTAATCAATTGTTCTTAATGGATATATTATTTTTATCTAAAGTGATTTAGTTGTTTTTACATTATTAGGAAATCACTTTAAGAAGAATGTTCAAGGGATGAGAGAGAACAATCGCGGACAAAATTCGTCGCTTTTTGCAGGTTTCCATGGCAACGGTAGCCATTTTGAAACTGAATGACCACACAACACAACTACAACCACAGATCCTCCTTTGAGGAAAGTTTCAGGAAGATTGTCCTAGCTATCTCCGAGAAACAGCCTGGAGAACAAAAACATGCGTACAATCGAAATATGTCGCCCGACTTCGTTCGGGGCAACATAATTCTGTATATCGGTTTTTGTTTTCGATGGACGTGTTGCCATTGCAAATTGCTATTCCGCCTACGCGTACAGTTTTTATCCGATTTCGATGTAACTTCTATTCTAATTTTATCTATGAAATACTTTTAAAGTGAAACTCCTCCTTGGTCTGATTTCAATATAGCTTGGCAAACAAGTTGACTTCAATAAGATACATAATTCTGTATATCGTTTTTTTTTTCCGATGAACGGTGTTGCCATGGTTACGAAAAATAGAATTTTCTGTAAAATAATCCAAATACAGTTTAATATATTCCCTTTCCTTTATCAAAAGAAGTATGTTTTTCCAAATACTCAATAACAGGCAGCATTCTCAGTAGACCTGCAAAATCTAAAATTTTGGATTTTACACCAAACAGATTTATGTGGCACAAAAATAAGGGTCACTTGGGTAATGGTTAACATACTTTTTATTTGAGAAGCCAAAGTTTAAAGTTGCACTAATTGAAGTACGTACATATTTGGTTTTCCCTGTAATTTTCTCGATTGCTTCACACAGCCTTGCGACATTTTGTGACATTTCTTTAACCTTTTCTTTTCCGCAGAGTAGGTTAAACTCAAAAATCACCTGAATGAAGAAAATGAAATTTGTTTATTTGCTTCCGTTCAGCTTTTTAGGACAAGATCAAATCATTTTCTTTTTTTACTAACTGAGGCTGTTAAACCGATTTCAAAATAGTAAGAGAGAGCGGCACACCAAGAATGAGGACAGATATTAACCAGAATTACAGGAATGTGCTGATAAATAAATTGAAATATTGAAGGAATGAAAATAGGCGCATTTTATATAGTGTAAACTGGGTTTGGGCAGTTTACGGTTTATAAAGAAACCGTAAACTGTTCCAACCCAGTTTATATCGTATAAAATGGGTAGCTATTAAGAGGTCATGTCAATAAGCATCGAGCTTCACCCTATAATCATGGAAAGTGGAAAAATTTGAATTCCTTCAAATTACATCCTTTTTGGTAAAGCATGAAAATAAATTTTAAAACAAATACTGACAGGTCATAGCAATCAAAGTTTCCATAGCAACCACCATTTTAAAGGATTATTGATGTATTGAGCTGAATGTGTATATTAAGTTCTTATTTCTTTTACTCAGATTTTAAACACATTTTATTTAAAGAGCTATGATAAGAACAATAAAAAAAAAATACTACTTTGTCAACCTCATCTTTTGACCTTGACCGGTATGGCTAAAAAATATGCTTTTTTCCCCTTCGAAAGAGGGCATTTTTTCTAAAATGCTGTGTACTATATAAATGATTCATATATATCTGTTGAATAAGTAAAATCTGTTCATTACTTAACACCAACAAAACTGGGAAGACAATTAAGAATACCAAAAATAAGGCACTCCATTTCTTACTGCATTACCATTGTTCACCGCATGGATTATCTCCCTTGTGTGGAACTCTCCTCAATCGGAAACTAGAAAAGGTATGCAAAACAGCAGATGAGACAAACGAATAAGAAATTAAAATTCACTCTTTCTGAATCATAGGAATTCCATTCAGTAAGAATACACAAATCGTTTTTCTCATATGACCTACTAAATGCTAGTTATGACGTCATTAAGTTGTGCATTTTCCCGTATTTTCTTAAAAAATTGCAGAAGACATCAATTTTCAGTTGATTTTTCTTTCAGAAAACATACTCTTGTCACCAAAGATTTTGAGAAATGTGATTTTTCAATGCAGTTTACATAATATATTCAAAATTGAAGCGGACCACGGTGGCAGACACAATTTTCTAAGGAAAATAAGCACAGAAATAAGTCATTCTGAGGCTTTTCTGCATTAAACCATAGAAATGTACCAAATTAGTGACATCATATTTCCAGAATGGTTCTCCTTCATGTCATATTCTTTAATGATTTAGCATATTCATCATCTCAACTATTGTTATAGCAAAATTCATAACTTTTGAAGAACATTAAATTTTTAGGGCACAGTGAAGCCATGACCGTACCTTCTTAACCCCTTCACTTCCGTACCGGTCAAATTGACCGGTGGCGCGTTAAATTACGACTTCGCGAAAATAAGACCTCCGTATCTATTTTATGGTAGCATGAAGGTATATAAACTATATATCATCTTTTTGGAAATTTTCTCTACTTTTGAAATATCTAAAAAGATTATGTCTTGATTGCCGGTATTTAATCGATTTTATGTTGTAAAGACAAACGTGACTTTTTGAAAATGGCGTAATTTTCCAAAGCAATTGCCGATTTTCCAGACGATTGGCATTCTTTTCCAGATTAACTTTACAAAGAAAGTATGATATATTCTTAAAGCATTTTTTCTCTGCTTTTAAAATATGTAAAAATTATTGTTATTACTTTAAAGTATATTTTAAAAACAAGAATTTTCTTGCACGTATGTGTTTTTTCTCGATTTTATTCGTAATGTTTAAACAAAGCTCAGTTTTACGTTAATTTCTGTGTTGAAATAGGGAAAACAAAATAAAGCTGATAAAAGTACAGAAAATTTCCTTTCCAACAAGCCTTTACAGGCCTTCTTACGCTCAGTATTTTCTTAATTACGATAATTTGAATTTGTGACCTTCGCATAGTTTTTATGGAAAAATCGGTCAATATTTACATGTAACGTCAGGGTCGATATTGTTGCGTCTTACTCGAAACAACAAATTATTTTATAAGACTTTTTTGACCATTTAAATATATTTTTACTGAAATAAATGCATAATACAAAAAAATAGATTTCAAAAAACAAATATATACTATCGTTCTGCCTTTTGTGTGAAGTGAAATGTTAATTTATTCATCTACATGTAATGATGTACATATTTCATGTTGTGATATAATATACAATGTTGATAAAAATTGTAGATTCCCTAAACGCCGATCTTTACTAAAAAAAAAAAAATCAGATTTTTAATATTGTTGTATCTTGTTAATATACCGTATACTTAATTTGCAATTTAATTAGATCTATATTGGCATGAAATTTAACAATACAAAAACTCGCATTATAAATAAATACGACTCATCAATGTATGAGTTGATACGAATTGAAATAACACGTGTTTCCGCTATGGGGTAGCAGTATAAACAACAACACGATCATGACGATGGCGATCCGAAGAACGTCAATTTTCATGATTATTTCACGACGAAGATCATCACATCAATGAATCAAATAATACGGACATGCTTTTGGTATTAGCAGGTGAGAATACGTGTATTTTGACTGAATGGGTTAAGTTTAAAACCCAATTAGTTCACGTTCAAAAGAAAACGAAATGTACACGTACTATAGATCTTCATATTTCAGTGTGCATATTTCGTATTGTTCAGCCAATTTTGTGTTGCTTTTAAACGTTGATGCTATTGACAATCACTCGAAAGTTCGAAGTAAAATCAAAGTTGCCATAATAATGGATAGTTGTTTTCAATATGTGTGTACCAGTGTGTACATGTACCACTTTCACATTGAATTTTTTAGGGTGCTGGCACCATATGCAACAATACTTTCATCTGTGAATACCCACTTGCTAAGCCCACCATGAACTACGAAGGCCAATTAATATGTAAGGACACCAATTAACAGGTAAATTTTTGTTTTGGTATTGAAAATTTCTGTATTTCTAAAATTTCAAAAATAAAGTCAAATTTCATTTGTGTCATTCTCATGATATTGCATTCATACAAGTTTATAAACATTTGATTTAATTAGTTCAAAGAATAAGCGTTTGAACACATAATACTTATGATGCTTGATTATTCATACAAACACATTATTTAGACACGTAATATCTATTTGAATGAATGCCGAGATATGGAACAAGCTGTTATAGACTGCTGTTGTATTTCCAATCTGCATAAAGTATGTGGTTAAAATTTCCATTTTCTCAATTTTTCAGACACTTTCCCATTATCGTACATCATATACATGGGTGGTCAAACTTACTGGATGGTTTATCAACACTCCCATGCTCATGAACAGCCTTTCCCCAGGAATTTTGCCCTGAAGTAACATTGCAGTCTATTGTCTCCATTCTTTTTACAACCCTGGCAGCCATGCAGGTATGCAATCTATGAAAGCCATGAAGGGACATAGAATTTTTAAAAATTTATAAAAGTAAACAGAGTTCTCGATTTATACAATCCGTTCTCTCGGATTGACAATCTTTCATAACAAATTGCCAATTCATTCTCGCAGATTATCAATCCGTTCCCTCAAATTACTCTTAGTTTAAATGATTCGTTTCCTCGGAATATTAACCCTCCCCATGATTTCATTAAAATTATTTATCTGTACATATCGGATATGGTAATACATGTTTAAAGAATAGAATATTGTAATATTTTACACCCTACCTTTTATTACATATTACGGTCTAAAATGAGAAAAATACATGAACATTTTCAAATCCATATGCTAGTACTGATATTTGTACAACAAAAAATCTTAGAGGTTTTTGTGTTAAGTGTATATTAGAATAATTGAAAGTCCTAAATAGTAAAAGTGAGTATGGGTCCTGTGTAATCATAATATTTCTAAAATAAATATATGTTGAATACGTAATATCGCGATTACCTCGCAGTTATCTAACTTACTACCGCTCTTTTGCAGGGGAGTCGAGAAAGCTCAAATCTCACGAGATTACTGGGGCACATGGCATTGTTTACAGTAGTGACAATCATATGATTTGAACAATTTTATGCCTAAAGTACAATGTACATGTATTGCCAAGAGTTGAATTCCAAATAGTAGATTGTCAAATAAGGAAAGTTTAAATTATTTTATCGGCTTTAAAATGCAGCGATTTTCAGTGAAAATTGAATTAGAAGAGCCCGATTCGTTAAAAATATCGTTAAAAATGTAACAATTTAGGATTAGTTCATCTCAAAAATTAATTACGCGAGTTCAGCGATTGTTAAGCAAGGTATTCCACCAGGATTTTTTACTTATCTGTCCTTATAAATTCTACAATGATCAATCTTGCATTGTATTCAATAGCACATTTGTCCCCAGCCAACAGACGTTTCCTACCTCCATTGCTAAAGAGTTTCGCTAAGTTAATTAATCGCGATATCAAGTATTAGTAATGAAAGAGGTTGGAAATGACCAGTTGCTGAAACAAAATAAATAGAACGCACAAATTGATTATAATGGTTGAATGTATCTGTACGTATATGTTATGAAATTCAAGAGCACAGATTGCCAAAATCATAAGACTGACGTTGTAACAAATCAGATCTTGAATTATTAATCTGTGAAAACGAATTACCAGTATGTAATTCGAGATCTCAAATTATGAATCAAGGGGGCGAATAAGTAATCCCTAAGATCGGATTGTCTAATTCGAGATCTCGAATTATAAATCGAGGGAACGATTTAGTAATCCATGGGATTGGATTGTCTAATTCAAGATCTCATTTTTTACTTTTTTGAAAATTGATGTGTCCCTTCATGGCTTTCGTAGCAATCTAATTAATCTATTTAAATTAGATCTTCCATCCACTGCCAGATTTTTTCATATGTTGCGATAGCGTAAACAGAGGCTTTAGTCAGATTGCCATATATGCTATTTGTTTTACTTCAGTAATTTTACCATGATGGTTTACTACAAGGTTATTGAATTATCAGTCCTGATACATTGACTTAGCAATACCATTTAACTACTTGAATCACATAATAAATACAATATTAATTTTAAAAGGAAAATCAAATAAATGTAGTAATTTTATCTTTCTTAATTTTATTTATAAATGTAAATTCATATACACAATGACATGTATCTGTTTCAAAATATATAAATCTTTTAGAGGATAGAAGCTGATCATATGTTCTTGACAGCAAATAATAATGTCTTGGACAAGTCAAAGAATTTCCTCCAGTCTTACAGAGAAATGACAGTTGATAAAAGAATGGTGGACACAAAGTAAAAATGCTCTTCAACATTTTGTTGAAGATTTCAGTCTGACTTGGAATTCATCTGGCAATGTTTCTGGTTTTGTATATTTGGATATAAACGTCACATTTTCAACTTATTGACTAAACAGTTTTGCATTAAATATTGCCAATGCTATGTATTATTATTATTTCCCTCCAAGATAACATGTCAGGTCTTTATTGTACCCCTTAAGCTCTGTTATACCAGAAAAATCTTGTAATGAAATCAATTAGTTTATTTTTTCTTGTTAGATTAAATCCATGAAAATAAAGATTATTTTTAATGGCATCAAGAGAATGGATTTTTTTGTTAAACAAAAAGATTGTATACATGTTTTGCTAGGGGTTTGTAAGAAGCAGACCAGAACTCTTTGCTTGCAAATTTTGTCGTTTGCCATTTTTATCACATCAACTAATAGATGTTTTATCCATGATTGAAGCATTTCAAAATTGATATTTACTTACAATTTAAAGCAGAATTCTGTACTGATATGACCTTGACCCCCTTAAGAACAAGAGTCAAGGTCAATTTTTAATACAAAAATGTTATTTCATCTTGCATACAATATCATGAAATATGCAAAAAGTGTCGAGAATGTGTCCAGAATGTGAAATAACAAACATGTATATAGCCAAAAACTTTAAAAAGTTGTTGCTTAGCAACCACTTAAAGGTCATTAAACAGATATTTGAACTAATATGATGCTTGGATATTGCAGTTCTGATCCCTTTTTGAGAGTATATTCAGAATTTTCCATTTCAGCATCCATTGTGTAAAATTATGGCAAGAATATTGAAAAGTGTTGAAAAAAATTGATGACACTTTTGCACTTATTTGACCTTTGACCTCCTAAAAATAGTTCTAATGAGGTCAAACTTTAAGACAATTTATCTGCTGTTCATCCCTTGTAATGTTATGACCTCACATCTAACTTTTATATGTGCTGGGATGCATAAATGTGTCTAGGATGAGTAATAAACGAAAATTCTTGCCCGAAAATTAAAAAATTCTGGGTTGCTAAGCAACCGCTTTTAAGTAGTTATATGCAGAATTGAAAAAAAAGTTTATATGTTTCATGTAGTACAGTATCATGCTCTTTTGTGAGTATATTCAAAATTTCCTATTTCAACATACATCATAGTAAATATTTAGCTTGAAGATTAAAAAGTATCAAAAAATCCCATAAAATTTTGCACTTAATTGACCTTTGACCTCCATTTTTACCAATAAGGTCAGTTGTTGAGTATCTGAATAGTCATAAAATATCATCTCTAAGACATTCCCTACAAAATGGTATGCAATATACCTAGCTTTCTCCTTGAATAAAAAAGTTGGAAATAATTTAATAATGTCATATCAAAAAGTCTCCAAAATCACCTAAAATGTGCCGGTAGAGAAAGGGTTAAATCACCTTTTTAGTTTTGGCAAGGGCATACACTTCATAAATCTTAATCATTTTTGGAATATGAATTATGGATATTTTCCTCAGCTTGAAAAGTGTTGCTGCTTCAAATAGAATCGCTTTTTATAAGAATAAATTTCATGTTATGAAGCTCCAGTTAATTTGATCTAGCAAAGTATTTCGAGCATTTATAGTAAATGCATGAAATACTTTGTTGAGGTCAAACATATTTTATATTATTAAAATTGACTGGAGCTGAAAGGCCCTGTCCCACCAAGCTGCGTTTCCACGGAGTCATTACGGCGTTGTTAATTTTTTTAAAATCGTCGTTGAATCGCAGGGAAATTGCACAAATTTCTGTAAAATTTTCACAATGTGAAGATGTCACGGCCGGCGTCCCTACAGCGACGGACGCGATTCTACGGCGATCTCACGGCGTTCTACTACGTTCCCACGGAGATCTCTCGGCGATTGACTGCGCTTCCGCGGAGTTTTCACGGTGTGTTAGGTGTTTTCTTCTCGTGTTCACGGCGTTCTCACTGCGCTGGCTGCGTTCACAATACGTTCACAATGCGTTCTATACCCATTGATATATATTCAGAAGAAATGTAAAACGTTTTTGTTTAAAGATTCTAGTTACACGATGAAAAGACTCCTAATCATACCAAGAAATGTTCTAAATAATTAAAAATGTTTTGTTTGAATAATTTAGTACTAAATTATTCATAGTTTTATGATTTTTTCAATTTTATCGGTTCAGATATGTTGTTAAATTTTCTTTGATTTTATTATGAATGTAAAAAAAAATAAACACACTGAAAAGTTGCTACAAAATTAAAGTGAAACAACAGAGCAAGTTCTGGTGTTAATTTCTCTCATATGTTTTTTTTCTAAAATGCCGCATTGCTGATCAAATATGATGACATTGCTCAAGTGTTTTGTGAGTTGGCTAACAACGCCGTGAAAGCGCATTGTGATCGCTAATGGACGCTGTAGAAACACCATGGGAGCGCAACGATCGCAGTGACAACTCCGTGTTGTCGTTGTGTAATCGCAGTAAAAAAAGATAAGACGATTAATCTCATTACAAGCTCCGTAAAAGCGCGATAGAAACGCAGTGACATCTCCAAGGACTCCGCGACATCTTCGTGAGGTCTCCGTGGAAGCGCAGTCTACAATCACTGCGTTCATGCCGCGATTATGTGCGTCTTCACGGCGTTCGTACGGAGCTCCGACAGCGTTGTCGGAGATGTCACCGCGCTGCTACGGCGATCACACTACGTTTCTATTGCGATCTTATCAGACCGCGACCACACGGCGCGTACTGCATGCCCAAAGTAATCGCCGTCCCCTGGCGTTCTAGGCGTCCCTACCGCGTTCAGAGAAGATCTCGCCGCGTTGTCACGGCGCTATAGGAGACTCTACTGCGATCACCTCGGCGTTTTGCATTTTTATGGACGCCGTGAGGACGCAGACCCGGTGTGACAGGGGTTTAAGAACTGTTTAAATATTATTTAACTGTTATAACATATTTTGTTCTTTACATTATGATTAATCATTTCTTAATATAATAGAATTCCCAGTCCTTCATTCCAAGTGAAATCTCTTGTGAATATACTTGGTCATTATCATAGACAAGTATTTGGACTCCCAGCTGTAGCCAGGATGAACCTTCGAAAAAAAAAAACAGAAGTCACTGGATAACTTTATAGAAGCATGTAGTGTTAGTCCTATAAAAGGAACGCTGACTCGTAGCTAGGAAGACTCATCGGAAAGAACAAAGTATGATTACATTAGGAAGGTTGAGCAAATTTTTCATGAAATCTTGAGTGTTTTGGCACCTGGTTAGGAAACAGATGTTTTATCATCACTTATAGAAAATAAAAGATTCTTTCTGTTATTGCTCATAAATTAACTCTCTCTCATATAAGAGAACTCATTCCAGATTTGTCAAAATACAAATGTACATCTGCTAGAAAGCATGCCTTAATGGTCGGACTAGGAAAGCATAAGGAGGGAGACTCTTACTGAACATTAGATAAACTATTTTTTTGAATTTATTATGTCACCAGTAATCATGACAGATTGTCCCTTTGGAATTATGAACCTGACGCTTTCCTCAGGGGAAAAGATGGAAGTACTAAAAATCATACTGAACAATGTACGTACCAGAGTAGTCCATCAGTACCTGAAGTTTTGTGAAGAGAATGGTTTTCCTTTATTGCAGGTCACAGATCCTATATCATGTTGCTGCCAGGTACATAGTGTTTCACAAGCACATCTTTTTTGTTTTTAAATTTACAATTCCTCACTTTTATTTTCAATGGAATAGTTTCCAATTCTGGATAACTCCCTTATCAAAAACAAACCTTTAACAATTATGTCATTGGTAAACCCTTAACAATCAGGTTTTTTAACAGAGTGTTGAAGCTATTAAAGAGTGGAAAATGCACATTCTTAGGACGTACAACCAGGACTTGGCGCATAGCACAGGGATTTTTTTTTACCCTGGGCCGTTAAGATTGGGAAAAATAGCGATATTTGGTTGAAATTGGGAAAAATGTCTTCATACTAATAAAAAGGAAAAAACAAGCAAAAGTCAACTATTTCATCTTTTTTTATCTTTAATTGTATGGAACTGGCTTCGATCAGCTTTACTGATATGAAATAATAGCGGCTGTTGAAGTTCAGAAGCTTAAAAATGGCAAAGCTGCAGAGTATGATAAAATTGTAAACGAACATATTTATACGTTGTCATCTTTTTTACCTTTATTTAAAAAGTTCGTTAAAAATAAAATTTGATAGGTTTGTTCCTGATGAGTGATTAATCGGTACTGATTGACCAGTTTATAGGAATAAGACTCAAAAGCGATTCAACCCAGTCTGAAAATTACCGTCCGAGGCAAACTCTAGAGACTGCCATGGTGCATATTAACTTATTAAATAACGATCCCGACTTTAATTTTTAAACATCGATCCCGCTTTAAAAACATTCGTACTATTCCAAATGACTTCTCGGATGGCTCGTACATCGAACATATGGAACATAACACTTGTTTTTCATTATTTTATTTTAATAATTTACAACTTAATACTTTTTTTCATATTGGGAATTTTAAGGTATAATTTTGGGAAAAACATGCACTTTTCAGCATTGGGAATGGGGCCGAATTTCAGCCCCTGAGAGACCCTAAAAAAATCCCAGTAGCATGAAACGAGAGAATTTGAAAGAACATGAAGTGTTCATCGAGAGGGACTGGGCTATGAAATTTATTTTATTGGTTTACAGGTAGCTGAAATTTATACAGTAAAACTATGTTATAACGAAGTCACTGGGACCTCTGAAAGTAGTATGCTATATCCGTAATACATGACTTTTGTGTACTTCGTATCCGTATAAGGAATTCGTTAAATTCAAATAGCTGGGGATCCAAGATAACTTCGCTATATTCGTAAGTTCGCAGTATCCGTGTTTGTACTAAACGAGTTTTACTGTATAGTGTATAGCTTAACCTGTCAAAACTGAGTTGTTGTTTTTTTCAAATCAAAGGACTTGTTTTTCAATAAGTCTATTGTTGTCATTAGGGCCCCATATAAAATGTGTAACATGCATAAGAACAGCAAAGTTTTATTTAATCATACTGATGTAGAAACATCCTCAAGTAGTGTA